AATGTTCACTTTTTTTGTGAGAAAAACTTGACGACTTTTTTTGTTATTATTTTTATGTTTATACTTTTTTCTTTTTTATATCAAATATTTGTGTATAGTATAATAAACTATACAAAATAAGTCCTTTCAAAAACAATTTTTTATTATTAAAAAACGTATCAAATTTATTTCTGATGTAAATTCTTATATTGAAAACAAGAGATATGTCATACTTTGAAAATTCCAAAAGAAATTATTTAAATTTAGTTTATATTGTAAATGTTTTGATGTTTTGTAAAAAAGTTGACATTTTATTGAGTTTTGATTTTTATAACAAACAAACGAATAATATAATTTTGTTTGTGCAATCACACTGATGGTCAGCGTTTTCAATCAACAACTTATTGTTTAAAATAATATGTCTACGAGATATATATACAATTTTTTTTCGTAATTATCGTTTTAATTTTTTTAGTTTAACATCACACAAAAAACCAAATGTGTATAAAAAACATAACTACCTTTTTTATAATTGTAAAATGAGAAACCATTTAAACATTACTTTACATTATTATAAAATATATTTAATAAATAATTTGTATGATCAAACAGTGTAACTTAATATATGTATAACAAACAAAAAAATAAAACGTGGAAACTTTTTATATTTTATTATTGTTACATCAAACCAGAACTTAAAAATATGATATTAAAGCATAAAATAATTATATTTAGAATACCTTTTTGTTTGTAAATTTTAGTTTATATTCATTTTTATGTGTGTTATAACAATAATATTTCTGGTACTGGAAAAGTTAATTAAAGTTTATAGTTCATTTAATTAAATGGTTTATAAATTCTCCTTTGTTTTCAGCACACAAATAAAATATTTTGGCAATAGAAATAATGTAATTGTTAATGGTTTCCAAACTGATAGTTTCCCAGGCTCTTTCTAAAGCTTTTTTGAGTTCTTCAATATTATTGAAAACAACCCTTTCTTTTCTCACAAGTCCGTCCAAGTAGTGCCACAATTGTTCTATTGGACTTAAATCTGAGCTGTTTACTGGTCAATTTTCAAACAACTTAACCACAAGTGTTCCGCCGAGTTCTTTGAACCAGGCAATTGTCCTTTTGCGGTTTGTGGTCTCGCACTGTCTTGTTGAAACACCATACTGTTTTTGAAGACCTTTTTGGCAGAATCAAACACCTTTGATTCTGTGAGAATTATTTGATAATTTGTGGCATTTAACGTGCCAGTTACAAATATCACAATTACACTTAAAATTTCGTTTAAAAGCAGCCTAAACCATTATTCTTCTGTTTTACTTTGGAGCAGGAACAAACGAAAGACAGTTTATAACATGTTGTGTTGTCATTGCAAGGGTTTTAATTTGTTTTTTAAAACAAATATGTTATCTTTTCGTATTCAATAAACACCGATTGAAGAAACTCTGACATCATATGAAACACAAACACAAGAAGAACGTGGATTTTATAAAGTTTTTGTTGTCACAACATCTTTAACGTTTGGGCCATTTTTGGGGGGGTCTCCCTATAATTGCAGGTTTTGTATCTTGTTGTCTTTTTATTTGTGAAATTCTCGTTTTTGATACTCCGCATAATTTGTGTATCTGACTGTACGACAAATTGTTTTTTTGAAGCCTATTAAACTTTTCAATATTTGCTTCCTGCTCTTTTTCGCAGTTTTTGTGTTATTCAGAAGACATTATCAATGTTTGCGTTTAATAGATATACAATTATCTTTTTTTCTGTTTCGGCAAATTATTACTGGTAGTTAACAAAAAAGTTTTAGAAAACAGTGGTAAAAAAAACAACAAAGAAAAAAAAATAAATAATTTTTATTTTGTTCGAGACAAATTTTAACTTGATTTATCCACAAAAAATATAAATGATTTGTTTTTATTCATTGGTTGTTACAGTAGGGGGAGTGAGGGGCTTGACGATACTGAGGGGCTTGACCTATACTTTTAATGGTTTATTTACTATATTTAAATAAAAACTATTTTTAATGTTCTATTTAAAAACACAACCTTGACTTATAAGTTATAGTTTATAAACCATAAAAGTATTGGTTCATCCTTAGCATAAAGTCAGAACTTGAAATTGTATTAAAAACGACTTGGGTGTTTGTTAGTTGTTTCTCAATTAAGTCATCAGTAGGCGTTAGTCTTCTTGTTTGATATGGCTCTCGTTGTTGGTTCAGCTCTTGGATATACCAAGGCAAACTTTCTTCTGTGATCTTGACCAAATATGCTGGTCTGTGCGGAAGAACAGAACAATGCCAAGTGTTTTTTGGTATAAACACTGTTGTCTTCATGGAACAACATGGAAGCCTCTTAGATAAAATGAACATTCTTTTGATCTTGCCAATATTGACTACAACAACACCAGAACGCTTATATGATGCAGCAATGATTTTTTTGCTTTGCTCTATAATGCTCCCAACACTAATTTAGTATGACGATCTATGGAAACATAAATATGCTCTCTCGGCTCTTCTTGTTCTCTTAGAACTTGTCGTGATCTGCCATCACTATCACTATGTTATCTCATTTAAAAATCAATTCAATTTGAACTTCGCTGTCTTCAGTTACTGTAAAATTGGCTTCAATTGATCTTTAATTGTCAGAGTATTCAGTAAGTTATTGTTTTAACCACTCAAAATACACAAGCCAAATCGTGAGACGAATTGGCTTGTGTGAAAAACAACTTGTCTATTATTGCTAAAGGAAATACTTTGTAGAAAGAAGTTGTATTTGTGCTGTCGTAGAAACATAAATAATTGAAGCTTTGTGAATTAATTCTTGGTTATTTCAAACAATGAAAATAAGCTGTTCAATTTTCTTCATAACATTGAAGGGTGTTAATCTTTCCTTTTCAAAAAACGTTTAATTTCATTTTTATAAGCTAAGAATATTTTTCTTTGACATTTTTTATAAATTATTTATAGTTTTTGTTATTTTTTAAATAGAACCGGGAAAACTCTGTATAGTAAAAAAGATAATAAAACAATAGGTCAAGCCCCTCAGTTTCGTCAAGCCCCTCACTCCCCCTACTGTATTTTGTTTCATTGGGTTTTTATTAATTTCATAAATTGCAAAACAACAAAAATAAAAATAACATGTTTTATACTTTTCCCAAAACTGCAAAGCAAGGTTTTTCCTTTCCAAAATACATGTAAATATTGTTTTTTTCCTTTAAAAGTTTCTAATAAATTCCCCAACCAGTTTATAGACCCCCTATATGTTTTTTAAAAATATTCAGCCAGTTAAGTGTTAATATATTTAAATATAAACTGTTAAATTTTTAATATCAGACTTAAAAACAAAAATATTTTCAATAAAATGATTATTTTTGCACTTCAAAAAATAAAACAAAAAAATTAAATATCTTTTGGGCTAAAATTCAAAGTCATCATACTCAATGTTTTCATCACAACCTACCCAACAGAATATAAACTTCAAACAATAACACCAATCTGGACACAACAATGGGCATTTATTTTTCTTTTTCAAATTACACCCATTGAAAAACCCTGAAATGTAAATATACCCAACAGCCAGCATCAAAGGGATAAATGCTTTGATATAATTAAATTTATTGTTTTCGTTATTATATTTTACTATATAACATAAACACAAATTTGTCGTGAGGAGTATTATTGGCACGAACCCTACAACACCCACATAAAACGCTTCACAACTCGTTGTTATATTTTTTCTGATGAAATTGGCACCAAAACATGTGAATTCGTTATCTCCATCTTCGTCTCCCCACCCAAAAACACATAAAATATACGAACACCAAATAAAAAGTCCATTAAACATTTCAAACACCAACAAAAATGAAAACACAAGAGAAATTAATATGAGACCACTGTCATTTGAAAACAAGTCTATTTTAATCATTTTAATCATTAACAGTATTATCAATGTTGTCATCACAGGTGAAAGAATAATCGATTTACAAAACTCGCCCCATGAAAAGTGACATTGATAAATTAGAACTGTCTATATAATCTTCATCGTCTTCATTGTGCTTACCAATTGAGCAA